CTTTCCCTAAATGGGGGCACCTGCCTGGAACCCAGTGGGATTTGGTCCTTCCCCATCCCCGGTACTGATGCCCAGTTGGCTAGGGCCATGCTCCCATGAGGAGGTGACTCTGGGCAGGGATCCCAGAGGCTGCAAGCTGGGCATCCCCATCCCTGACCCAGGAGGTGAGTGGATACACCGCTGTCACTGTGACAGCCCTACCTTGCCCTGGGGATGAGGCTGTCTGGCAAGGAGAGACGTAGACCATTTGGGGCTGCAGTGCCAGTGTCCAAAACACATCTGAGGTGCCCAGCCTCGGTGGGACCCACATGCCTGGTGCAGGGATGCAGAAGCAAAGCTCTCATTACAGGGGTGTGCATCTACAGCTAGTGATGTACAGAAAGAGAAATTAATGCCTTTATTAATATTGCCTGGTGTGCGGTTGGGCTGTGGGAGGCATGCTACTGAGGAGTGGAAGACATGGTAAAGTTATCGTCACCCACATATTGCAAATTCACATCAACTTTGCATAAGACGTGGCAGTAATCCCACAGCAGTGACCCTAAAAATGCCCTTCCACTTTTTGGAGGGGACTTTACAGAGGCTTTCCTAGTTAGCCTTTCTGTTCCTCCCTCCTTTTGTGTGCATCCGAGCTGGAATAAAGAGACTTAACCAGGAGCAGCATGAGCACCTGTAGCCCCTCAGCCCACCAAGTGCCATGCCGCCCCGCTGACCCCAGCAAATTCAGCAGCAAACGCTTCATCACCAATGAGCTCAGTTCGGTTGCTTTATTTCATTTCGCTTTGCGAGATACAAAAAAAGCCTGGGACAGAGCCGGTGCGTACTGCAAGCCGCCTGGCGTCCCCTCTGGCGTGCGGCAGGCGCCGCAAGCCTTTTGGTGGGAGTGGGATGGGGCAGGTGGAGGGCAGCACTGGGGCTGCCCCCCCGCCCGCTCACTGGCTGTAGTAGTAATCCTGGCCGTACACATCGTAGCCGTGCCCCTTGTAGTAGCCATACTCGTCCTCATAGGCCCGGTAGCTGTCCCCACGGGCGTACTCGTCCTGCTCCCCGTAGCTGCTGTCGGTGGTGCCCTCATCCCCCCGGCCGTGGCTCCCAACCGTCACCTCATACTCCCACTGCTCCCCAGCTGTGGTGGCATCCGTGGGTCCCCCATCTCCTGTTGTGGTTGCCTGGGACAGCCCCTCTTCACCAGTGGTGCTGGCAATGGTGGTGGCTTCGGTTTCCTCCTCCTCCTCCTCTTCCTCTTCTTCTTCCTCCTCCTCTTCCTCCTCCTCTTCCTCAGCTGCGCCAGTGCCCTCCTTAGGCACAGAGGTGCCATTGCCATGAGGTCCGTCTGCCCCCTCGGTGGTGTTGGTGCTTGTGCCATTAATGCCATTCTCATTCTCGGCTACCTCCTCCTCCTCCTCTTCCTCCTCCTCCTCATCACTGTCTTCATTTTCAGATTCACCCCCCTTGCCAGCAGCGCTGTTCCTGCCCCCATTCGGGGACCCTTGGCAGCCCTTGCCCTGGCAAGGGGAAAATAACGCAGCATTAGTTGGGTGTCGAGAGGTCACGACTTTTCAGTGCCGTGTGGCCTGTGGCAGGCATGGGAACAGCTGAGCATCCCCCCAGCGCCTTGCATGGCAAGGTTGCCTTTTTGGGGTGCCCCTTCCAACCCTCCCACTGATTTAGTGCCCAGAGATTCTCCCAGCTGTGGGCATCTTGTGCAGCAGACCCTCAAGCAGAAATGGGGTGCAGGGCATCCCATGGGTACAAGTTAGCATGCAGTGAACATACCCCCCTCCCCGGGCTGCGCCGGCGGGGTAGCCAGCTGCCTGGGTGCCAGCATGGGATGGCTCCTGCAGGGACAGGGAGGGAGAGGATGGGGCAGGGCAGGTGGTCAGCAGCGGGAGCAGACCGCAGCCCTCCCAGCAGTGAGGGGGCATGCAGCATCCCCACACGGCATTTGGGCACTGCTCTGCATTTCCTGCTTTCCCACGGGTCTCGCCCCAGGCTGAAATTGAGAAGCTGCAGCAGGGCAGCCTGAGCCATGCAATTAAGTGGTGGTGGCTGGAGTCGGGTGTTCCCATTCTAGCTATGCATTTTGCTTTACAAAGCATCTAAAAGTTTGCTTGTGAAGTTCCTTTCCCAGTTTCCAATAAACAAAGCCAGCCACGGGCACACTACATGTGGACACACCACACACCAGGTGTACATAGCTGGCAAGAGCGTGACAGCTCAACACCAGGCGTGAGCCCGAACCCCACCAGCAATAAGCCATCAGCACCACTTGGTCCCAGAGACCAGGCAGCAGAACGGGTCTCTCGGCGGGGTGCATGGCAGTCCTCGCAGCTAAAAAAGGCAATAACCAAAATCCAAGCAGAGCCTGGAGCAACCACTGAGGAACTGGTGTGGCAGCTTCCCCAGTCCCCAGGCTGGGAGGAGGAGCACCTTGCTGCTGGCAAATGAACCCAGCCATGTCAGGGAACACGCGGGGCCACTGACATCCCTGCCCTGGGCAATCCCCGCTGCTTGGATGCCAAGACCAAGGATGCTCACCCTGACGTTTTGGGCCAACTCAGACACTTAAAATATGGGTGCATCGCATGCCAGAGAAAACCCAGGCTGTTTTCCTCTCCACTTGGAGGAGCCACCAAATTGCACGGTGCAGCTGTCTGACGTGACAGGCGCG